TGGAGGATGTGTATTGACTTCACCAACCTCAATGATGCGTGTCCAAAAGACCCTCATCCCTTGCCAAACGTCGAGAAGTTAGTGGAGCGAGCAGCTGGGCATGAACGGATGAGTTTTCTTGACGCCAGCTCGGGCTATCACCAAGTTCAGTTGCTGTTAGACGATCAGGAGAAAACAGCTTTCTACGCTGGTGATGCTATCTATTGTTATGTGATGATGCCATTTGGCCTGAAAAATGCTGGTGCTACATATCAGAAGTTGGTGCAAATCATCTTTAAGCTCCAGATCGGTAGAAACATAGAAGTGTATGTAGATGACATGATAGTAACCAGCGAGCGAGCTGAGGACCATATAAACGACCTAAGTGAGACCTTTCAAAATCTGCGCCGAGCCCGAATGAAGCTGAATCTCATGAAGTGCACGTTTGCTGTAGAATCAGGAAAATTCCTAGGGTACGTGGTATCCAAGAAAGGAATTGAAGTGAAACCAGAGAAGGTTCTGGCCGTTCAGCAGATGGAACCTCCCAAGACTGTAAAGGATGTGCAGCGCCTGATAGGTCGTGTAGTTGTGTTGCATAGATTCATATCCAGGTCGGCGGAAAGATGCCTGCCGTTTTTCAAAGCTCTGCGAGAGCCTAAAAACTTCCAATGGACTAATGAATGTCAGCGGGCGTTTGACGAGCTCAAACAGTATCTGGCATCAGCACCCTTACTGTCTAAACCTGGCGATGGGGAATGCTTATATCTTTATCTGGGGGTCATAGAGGAAGTGGTGAGTTCAGTGCTACTGAGGGAAGAGAATACAATTCAGAAGCCTATTTGCTACGTGAGCAAGGTGTTACAAGGTGCCGAGCAGAACTACCTGCTAGCAGAAAAGGCCGCCTTTGCCTTGGTATACACAGCTCGTAAGTTGAGGGCTTACTTCTAATCACATCAGATTGTTGTCTATACTGACTTGCCACTGAGAAAAATACTGCAGAAACCTGAACTCTCTGGTCGGCTTATCGAATGGAGCGTTGAGCTGAGTGAATATGACCTCAAATTTCAGCCACGCACAACCATAAAAGGCCAGGCCGTGGCGGACTTTTTGGTGGAATGCATCTTAGCGACTAGGGAAGAAAAAGCACCTGAACACCCAATATGGGTTTTGTATGTTGATGGAGCAGCCAACGTTGAAGGGTCGGGTGCTGGGGCTGTGCTAGTGGGCCCAGATGGTTTTAAGTCTGAGCACGCGTTGAGGTTCAAGTTTCAAACGACTAATAACGCTGCAGAATATGAAGCCCTCATTTACGGGCTGAAGCTAGTGACCGAGCTGAAGGTGCGAAGCATCCAGGTTTTCAGCGACTCTCAGCTCGTGGTGGGCCAGGTGAATGGCAGTTGTGAAATCAGGGACCCCCAGCTTGGTCGTTATGCCTCTGTGGTCAACAGATTAAAGTCAATATTTGTCTTCTTCCAAATTGATAAAATACCAAGAGCAGATAACCACCGAGCTGACGAGCTGTCAAAGTTGGCCTCCTCGCAGGACATTAACCCTCGGAGATGAACAATTGTTGAGGTACTCGACGCACCGAGTTACACTGATTTCACAGTCAAGTGTCAACTGCTAAGCACTGATCCCTCTACACCGAGTTGGACCACCCCACTCATAAATTATTTGCGAAGTGGCGAACTACCTGAAGACCAGTCCGCTGCAAAATTGACTAAGCGCAGAGCGGCACATTTCACTTTGTTAGATAACCAGCTCTACAAACGAGCAGCCTCAATGCCCCTATTACGCTGCCTTACTCCTTATGAAGCTGAATACGCAGTGAGAGAAGTTCACGAAGGAGTATGTGGCACGCACATCGGTGGCAAAACTTTAGCTCGGAAGCTCTTGAGGCATGGTTATTACTGGCCCACTATGGTAGAGGACGCGCTGAACTATGTTAAAAAATGTCCGACCTGCCAGTTTAATGCTGATTACACATGCCAGGTATCTGAGCTTGTTCTTACGATCATTCAAACTTTCTGTCTGTCTATAATCTGAGCATAACTATCTTCCTTAAAACAGGGGAAATGCTATCATCTCTTACTTCTCCCTGGCCCTTTGCTCAGTGGGGTGTCGACCTGATCGGCCTTTTCATCAAAGGCAAAGGAGGCTGCACTTTCCTGGTCGTTGCAGTGGATTACTTCACTAAATGGATAGAAGCTAAACCATTATCCACGACAACAGAAAGGAAAATAGAAGAATTCTTGTTCAATTCAATATTGTGCAGGTATTCTTTGGTGGCTTAGGTCATAAATAAAATATATGCAAACATAGTCCCTAGCTCAGCTCGGTCATCTGTGTACAGGTTCGGCATACCTAAGCGGATTATCGCCGATAATGGGCCACAGTTCCGAGCAGCAGCACTGAGATCGTTCTGCAGTGACTATGGCATTGAACTTTCCTTGACGTTTGTTTATACCCCCCAGTCAAACGGACAGGCCGAGTCTGCCAATAAGATCGTCTTGCGAGGCCTCAAGGCGCGCATTATAGCTGCGCGTTCTAATTGGGTTGACGAGCTCAATAAAGTACTTTGGTCTTGTCGCACGACACCCAGCTCGGCCACAGGCGAAACCCCATTCAGCCTGGCATATGGAGCTGAGGCCGTTATCCCAGTCGAAGTCGTGTTGCCCTCAGATAGAGCAGGTCGGCACGACGATGGTAGTAATGAGCAACTATTAAGGGAGAACTTGGACCTCGTGGAAGAGGTCAGGGAGATGTCTCGAATGAGAAACATGGTGCACCAGAGTCAGGTGGCAAAATTTTATAATAAGAGAGTTCGAGCTCGCCAGTTTTAGGTCGGCGATCTGGTCCTACGTAAAGCAGGACTAACCAATGCTCATTCGCACATGGGCAAGCTCGCTCCTAATTGGGAAGGTCCTTATATAGTTGTTCGTGTTAAACAACCTGGGTGTTACCAATTAGCAGATGTACAAGGTCATCCAATACCATTCATTTGGAACATACATAACCTTAGAAAGTTTTATAGTTAGCATGTATGTCAATAGTGTTCAGGTCGTTATGGATCATTTGTAGATGATGATTTACAGAAAATTCAATACAGAGAGTTCCAAAGTTGCACCTGATCAATGAATCCTACATATGGAGTACATATTGCAAATAACTTCATCGATTTACACAAAAATACAAGAACAATACATAGCAATTTCAAAAACAAATATTGGAGTTGTATTTCATGAGTATTCTTGTACAAATGTTCGATTAACATAAAAGACAAGAAGAACTACAAAAAACAAAACAAAAGGTCCTAAACTACTCATCCGTCAGGTCGACGGGGGTGGATGCGTCATTTGGCGCAGCAGCAGATCGAGCTGGAGATGATCGATTTGGGGAAGAGTGAACAGGAGACGGAACTGGAGAGAGAGCAGCTGGAGCTAGAGCAGCAGCTGAGACAGGCTGAGGCGGAGCACAGGGAGGAGTGCTGGAAGGCTCAGCAGGCACATCATGGGGGTCTGCCACCCAAGCATCAAAGCTCGGCAACCCCTCCATGTCCTCTCCTTCCTCAACGACTGAAGGGGGCCAGACGGGCAGCCCCTCCTCGTTGAGCTCCCACTTTAGTTTTACCCTGGTGTCAGCTGGCTGGGTGAGGCTCTTCCCGTCAGCATTGATCTCCTCGCCCTCGAAGAAAGCCAGCTTGCCAATGGGGAAGTCTGCCCAGACTCTCAACACCTTCCCACGAACTTCATTGAAGATGTCAGTGGTGGTGTTGGCTGCGGCCACAGCTACGGCGTCCTGGAACATCTCCGCCCCCACCAGCCACTCAGCCCCCTGTGCACGGGCAAAGCAAACGTCGCGCTGGTGAAGTCTTTTAGTCCTCTCCAAGGACGCCTCAGCCTGGGCAACATGTTGATCCGCCACTGAGACCCTCTCCCTCAGGCCGCTAAGCTCGTGCAGAGTCCTCTCTCTCTCAGCTTCTGCCTTTCTGGCCCGGTCCTCTGCACGACCGGCCTCATCCTTCGCAGCTTGAATGCCGCTCTCCTTCTCAGCCCGAGCTCGGTCCAGCTCCTCCCTAAGCTCAGTGACTTTGCGAGCCAGCTCGTCAGCCCGGCTTTCAGCTGACGCCGCTCGGTTGGCCATCTCCGAGCTCTGCAAGCGGTTAACCTCGTCAGCCAAGCTGGCCTTCTCAGATGCCAGCTGTTTGCAGTTGTGTTGCAGCTCGCTGTTCTGCGCCCTGGCTCCCTGCTCGCACTCAAAGAGTGCGACAGTGTAGCTGAACGCCTGCAATACAGGTTCACTCGTCAGTTTATAGTAAAAACAAGGTAAAACATAATACCGAGCTCACCAAATATACTTACATCCATCAACTTTATTAGCGCAGCATGTCCTCCATGCTGCTGAACGTGCCCCTTTGCACGCAGCCGGTCTGCAGGGGGCACAAAGTTCTGCATACCCTGCAGCATAGCAGTCTGACACTCAGTCCGGGCGTAACTGAAGCCGTCCGGGTATGCAATCCTTGGGCCCCCCACAGACGTCGAGGTCGGTGCGGCCTCAGCAACCTCGCGAGCTGGCGCTTGGGACACGTTGGAGGGTCTTGCAGCAGCGACCGGGGCGGGCTGCGAAACGGTGCTCGTCCTACGTCAGATGAGAGGCACGTCATCCTCTGCATCGGCATCCGCGTCTTCCCTCGAACGCCTTCTGGAGCTGGAAGGCGCAGGCTCAATTCTTTGCTCAGCACGTGGCCTCTGTGCCGAGGTGAAACCTCTGTGCTGCGAGCTGCGCCCTGATGCAGCAGGTGGCCGCTCGTCAAAGCGGGACTGACGTTGGGAGCCGGACCCAGCTCCCTGGCTCCTTGAGCCTTGAGCTCGTTGTCTTTGCCTCTCTAGGATGCTGCTCATTTCTCCTGCACAAATAAAAACATAAGATTCAGGTCGGCTAGAAATCCTGCTATGTTATAGGAATATACCTTCACTGTGCAGGTTTGCCACATCGACAAACCCAAGAACTGCGATCTGGTCCGGGGTAACCAAGGCCTCCAGCTCCACCAAACCCCTCGCCTTCACGTGATCGAGTAGCCGGTTCTTCAGGTCGACGTCACCAACGGTCAGCTGAGGGTAGTTCATGTACGTGTTCGGCGTATGCCACTCAGATAGACGGGCGGCGAGCTCGTTATTCATCCTTTCAGTTCGTGTATCGCGCACGAAGACGAACTGCCTCTTCCATCTCGCCACCTTGTTCCTAATGTTGGTGAAGATAATCATCTTCTCTCTTCCTGAGATGTAGTACCACCTCGTCTCACTCGTAGACGGGCACAAATGGCACAGGAAGAGCGACCTGAAGACCACCGCCTTTGCAGGCATCCCCAGCCTTTTGCACAACAGCATAAAGCCTATGATGAACTTTATGCTGTTGGGAGTGAGTTGCGAAAGGGCCAGCTCGTACTCTGCCAGGACATCAAAAACTAGCCCGGGCAGAGGAAAACGTAGACCGGCCTCAAAATGGTCTACGTACACTGGCACCCAGCCCGTCCGTGATACTGAGCACGCCCTTTCATTTGGTGTACCAGCTCGGATCAGGATGGTTCTGGGGATCTGGAATCGCCTCACCATCTGCTCTAGCTTCTTATACCCTTTCACCGTGGCCACCCCATCTGCAACTTCGTGGTGCAGAATCGCCCTGAACCTAAATTCGGCCGGTAGCGTTTTGGGAGCTTTACGGAGGTTGTCTAGTCGCCCGCTGAGAACCTGGCTCTCCCACCGTTCAAACAAAAACCGCCTCAACTGTTGTACTCGCCAACGGCATGCTGCACCCAACCTCTTCAGCACCGTGTACTTCGCCGGATATCCCTTCCACGGGCGAATCCCTAGAAGTTGAAGGCTGGTGGTTCTCAGAGCCATTGCTCGTGCTCGAACTACTGCTATTCTCAGGCGTGGCGGTTCTAGGCGAATCCTGCAACTCCGGCGGCACTATCATGGTGATAGGCTCCATAGATATCACGTCGACGTCCTCATCTTCACCTTGGTTACCCCGGAATCCTTGCGCATCATGTGAAGATGTCATTTTTACCTGAATAAGGGAAGTCGAATATCCTTTCACTGAAAATTCTGAGGAATACCCTGAAGCGTCTCTGCAACTATCGCTGAGGAAAATGTTAACGTATTGAGCAATGAAATAGAAATTTCCTTTTGTTCCTCTCCTTCAGATAGTGCTCTGTAATTTTCGTACGCGTGTTATGACCCCCCAGTTAAACGCGTCCACGTGCCAGCCATTTATGGGCAAAAACTTAAAACGCGCCATTGCAGCTGTCACGTCCCCTCAAATGCTGAGCCAGCATTTATTGTGGGGAAGCAAAAGGGCATCTGTTAAAATCAGAAGAATACCAAAAGCCCTGAGCAAATCTCCTCTGAGATTCGACACAGTTGTTGAAAAATCCAAAGAATCAGATCGCGACAAACTGCAATAATCAGCTCGTAACAAATTCAAGACCTAGGCAAATCTCCTCAGAGATTCGCCACAGTACACATTTCGAAAGTCCTTACAGTTAGCTCGCTACAAATCCGCGATCTCCTCACAGATTTGCCATAATTCAAAATTTGAAATTCCCAAGAA